TCTATAAGCCTTTCTAAAACCGGATAAGTACTTTTAATTAGTATTAATAAAGTTAATTTAGATAATATAAATATAGAACTTTAACTAATAGAAAATATAAGTATTTTTAATCCTAATTTAGTTTAATATAAAGTTCTATTAGCGTTTCTACTATTTCTGCAACTTTTATTAGTATAAATAGTAATAAGGATATAGAGTTAAATAGACAGGCTTTATATATAGCTATATCCTACTCTAATATTATTTAGATCTAGATAACTAAGCATAATACTATAAAACTTTTCCCGTGCTACAGCAACTTAGTATATAGTAAATTCGGCTTAGTTACTTACTATACACTAGGTGCAGAAAAAGGCATAGTAACAGGCATATACTTTATAACTAGAACGTGCTAAACTAGGTTAATAAATAGTCTATATATTTGCATTAGCGCGGACTCTAAGAACTTATTAAAAGAACTTAATACCACCACCGGAATTCTAGTATTAGCTAAAGCGTTATCTAGAAAGGGATAACTTTAAGTAAGCTATAGATACTAAGATTAAGTTACTTAAAGATAAGTATACTTTTAAACTTATTAATTACCCGGAGTATAAATAAATGCTACTACTTAAATAGGTTTTTATATATAAATTTAATACTGCTAGCTACCTTATTTATTATAAAGCTTAAATATACGTAAAAGGCAATTTTTAATATAATATTTCTAACAATATCTATATAGCTATAGGGGCGTATTAGAGCTTTTATATTCTTATAGTACTTATCTATATATTTAGGCTTCTATATTATTAAATTAACTTTAAGAACGCCTTTATTAATACTAATATAGATAATAAAATCTATACTACCTATCTACTAGGGTATAGAATACTAGAAAAGGTTTAGAAATTGCTTAAAGCGCTCTACAGCCTATAAAAGTTACTAAAGCTATAGTTTAATAAACTTATATTATTCCTTAACAGTCTAGGATTTAAATATTGCCTAGATAAACTATATATTCTTATTAACAATAAAATAGGCCTTATCCTATTTCTTTATATAGATAATCTCCTTATTATTTTAGAATAAAAACGCGTCTACTATATTAAGTAATTTAAGTTAGCAGTAAATAGTAAGTACAGGATTAAGGATTTAAGCAAAGCAATCTCCTTCCTTAATATTAGGATCCTGTAAAACGCAATAGATAAAAAGCTTTAGATCTATTAGGATAAATATATTAATAAAATCTGCACTAAATATAGAATAGATAAGTTATAGAAAATAGTTTATACACCTTTTACTTTATTATATTATTCCTAACCTTTTAAAGAACAGGCTACTATATAGTAAATTATAGAAATATAGGAAAAAATAGGTTTAATATTATATATAGCAGTAGTATTAAAACTAGATATTTTGTTTGCAGCTAGCTAGTTAAGTTAGTTTATAATAAACCCTTTACTAGAGCACTTATAATACGCAAATTAAGTTCTTTTATATTTCTAGACTATAAAGTACTATACTATTAAGTTCTTAGGCTCTATAAATTCCACAGTAGTAGAAATAGGCAATAATAAAGTGCTACAGCTATTAAGCAACGCATTATTCGCGGATAATCTAAAAACTTAAAAGTTAACGTAAGGTTACTTTATAAAGCTGTTTAATAGACTAATTATATAGCAGTTCTCTAAATAGAAGACTATTACAACATCTATAACTAAAGCAGAGCTTTTATTGCTATTATATACAGCGAGGGAGATAATAGGTTTATATAGGCTGTTTGCATAGGTATAGTTTAATCTAGAATAATAACTTTATATCCTCTATAATAATTAGCAGATAATAGGCCTAATCTAGAAAGCAAGACTATAGTTAACCTTAAAACTAAAACACGTTAATATCTATAGCTTATAGCTAAGGCAAATCTATTAAAGTAGCAAAGTTATAGTCTAGTAGGTTCTAACCACAGGTATGCCTTTAGATAGCTTTACAAAACCCCTCTTAACAGAGAAACACGCACACTTTATACTCTAACTAGGCCTAGTTAATATCTTATCGCGGATTAATCCAGGATGCGCATTAGAAGAGGATAGTCTACAAGACGTTCAGACCTTATCTAAAACAGAGTGAAATCTGGGGGGGTGTGTTATAGACTAAGGCATTAGCCGTGGAGGCCTAAGGCAAGAACTGCATTAATAAGCTTGCTATTAAAGCTATATAGAACGTCGGGCGGGGTAACCCAACCGACAAGAGACACCACACACACACAATTAATTATATTCTGCTGCTTGATATCATTTCCAATCCTGCTTCATCCCGTGCACACCTAAGTGCGACATAATATAAGCATCGTAGTGTAATTTACTTATATTATCCAGCAAGCCAAGCTTATGGCTGTAAACGTGTGGCTAATCGGGAGCCTAAGTACCCCACCTTATGTATCCACTGTTAGCCTAGGCACGTGATTTATTACGGTACCAGAAGGTACTTCTCTACACAGCTTAAGCTAACAAGAGTATAACCGGTGCGGGTCGGCCGCCCTCCCTGTATATAGTGGCGAGATCTAGTAGCAAATTCCTCTTAGCATTATTAAGTATTACTAGTCAGCATATAGCTATAATACTGCCTGCCAAGACCCTAGAACCCTCTTAGATACAAGTCGGGAAGGATAATTAAATCTGTAGGCCCTTTATTTCACTTAAACCACATACTCTAGCAGCTTAATTGCCTTCTTAACCTGTCCGTCTGCTTAGTATACTCTAGCGAGCTCGTGCTGCGACGCTAGTCGATCAGGATAGTCTTCTGCAAGCACTTCTGCTTTTATCGCGATAACGCCTTCCAGTAGCTTAACTGCCTCCTTAATCTGTCCGTTCGCTTAGTATA